CTTCCAAGTCCTTGTAGCTTGTACTGTTAATATTTGAAAAGTGACTTCTAGTTCATGAAATATTTTAGATTCCAGATATCGCGTCCGCAAATTTTCGAGGTTAGAAAAGGAGTACCCTTTAGCAGTATGTACTCTTCCCTGCCACGAGATAAAGAATTGTCTAAAGAACACGAATCGCGAACACGATTCATGGATGTCAACATATCGATGGACGAAGGTGGCCGAGAGAATGGAATTCCCGAGTCAAGGAAACGATAAAAGAACGGACTGGATAGAAATCGTAAAGAATACGCGGTGGGTCTTCGTACGAGGGATAGGGAGGACCGTTTCCTCTCTTACTTACGTCCCATTCTCAACGTTCAGGTCCCAAGGGTGCCTCGGTAATTTATTTCCAACGCATCAGAATTCTCGCATAACGACTGCAGTATTTGGTTAATATGATTTCCCGAAGTGGTAGTTAAATCTAAACGGGGGTTCTTAACGTGGCGCTTACGAGTGTTATGTAAATACAGAACCCAATGGAAAACAGGCAATAGCCTGTCAGACACGACCAGATATGACTAACTACGATCAAAAAAATGTATCCCGCTTGGAGAGACGCGTCTGTTTGGGGGAGAGAAAAAAAAAACTCGTTTCCCCGAATACCAAAGAAATATCCTAAAACGTCATTTTGAAATCCCAAATTGTCTCTACGAAACGGACGATCCGAATGCACACGAGGTCTAACGAAGCAAGAGCGGTCACCCTCTGCCTAACTAACGACCCGACCATTTTAAACTGTAACTTGTTTCGAACGTGTTGGTCGGCCCTACGTGGGCATCGAAACAATGCGCCTGATGGACAATACTTATTAGTTTCGGAGGTGGGCGAGCATGCTCTTCCTCTTTCTTCACGTCGTTGTACCCCATTGTACAAGTTGAAGGTATGAAGCGAGGCAGGCGAAACGCCTACAAGTCTGACAAGGTGCCAGCGCATCATCACTCCTGAAGTACACGAAACCGTCTGGAAGGCGAACAGCTTCCCCGAATAAAAATCCAACAACGGATTTCCCGACTCACCGCGATTAATTCCGGACCCTCCCCGTTACACCACTGCGTCACTACCAAACCAGCTTGTTTAGACTGCACGATGTTCTCCTTCCCTCCTCCTCCTCCTGCTTTCGTCGATGTTCCTCACGACGCGACGTCGATGCGTCGGTCGTCAGCTTCTTTTTCGAAAGTTAGCGCGGCCGACTACCGCGCGATCGAAAATTACTTATTTAATAAACCGGAGGCTTAGGCACGGACGTTCTCGCGTCTACGCGGTGTATCATTAAAAGGATCGTTCTTTCTCGTGCAGCAGCTTATTGATAACCCTAATTTTACCATTAACGTGTTTAAGATTCATGGTGACGCTGTCGTGTCGGCGAGACAATAAGAGAGGCGTGTACAACCCTCGCAGCCCCGCGGAGGAACGTGAACTCTCGGCGGGGATTAGCCGGGGCACAACAAAGTCGATACCGCCGATCGATAAATCAAAGCTCGCGACCGGTTCGAGAGTGGTATTAAGCCCGTATCGCATTACACGGAAAATAGGGCATCTCAACGAATATTTGGACCGCGACCAGTCGGGCCAGTCCCCAGTGGGGTCTTACTAAGGATGCGTCCGAATCATGAATAAATTTTAACGAGATTGCACGCCCGTGAAAGAGGCCGAAAACGAAGACACCGAGACGACCCGGCCGCTGCCTATATCTCCACGTGAGGATAAATCAAGTCGCCTAATCAGACTGCTTCATCGAGCTCGGTTTTTCAGAAGTTATATAAAGGGACAGTCCCTTTCATATAAGAGGGAATAGCAAGGCCGATGATGCGCTTTAGCAAAAAATCACCGGTCTAAAGTTGAATAATACGACAGTTAAGAGGATTTTTTTCTTGGGCGACATTAAAGAAGACGCGGTGACTCGCGATAAAATCACGTTCGCACAGATTCATACAAAATTATCGTCGACGAGCTGACGAGAAGTTGGGACCTACTTGGGTGGTCTAACGCGACCGAACACGATTCCAGCTTCCTCATCGGTGTTTTTTCGGGCACATTCGAGCCAATTTCGGTTACCGAGTCGCACGACCGGAGCCTAATGAATAGCGTTTAATTAAAGCCCATAAATCCTCACTCTCTCGGCCGAGCGAGTCCTCTTTGAAACGGAACACACGGTTTCGGGATAAGGAAAAAGGACGAGAACGATCGAGAACGCTGTCGCGAGACGATCGAGACAAGATTTTCAACCGTGCGATAAAATTTCAGGAATGTGTAGCGCTCATTTAGATACACGGAACTTGGCCATGGTGGTAACTTTGGCTTCTGTTAGTGCTCAAGGAACCTTGTAAACGTGTTTCTCGATTAATTCGGGAACCTCTAGAGGCTGCCGCGATGTCACAGCGACGCGCACCGAAATGCTTGCTATTGGACACACTTAATAGTCTCGGATCTCGCGAAACGGAGAGACGAGAACGGCCGTAAACGTTTAGCGACGTGATATGTGGAAATCATTCGTCGAATCACGCGGAAACGTTCGAGCGCGGTTACGTTCACGGAAACGCTAAGAATTATATCAACGTTACAATTTACAATGGGCGCACCGTCATTAATTGCCGTCATCTTATCGGCAATTTATTTGATAACCTTCTACAAGCGAATGCACTTAATGAGCCGAGATGTTTAATAGTTTTTTACGCGGAGCAAAACCGGATAGAGCAACTTTAGAGCACCTCGCCCCGCAGTCGTAAAATCCTACACAAAGTCTCGGGGCGCGAACGTGATGACGCAATATGGGATTCCTGCAGGAGAAAAACAAAAGCGCGTATGCACCGAATAAATTCTGCCGGAACGGACGGTATGTACGTTGGTAACGGGTATCGTGGCTCTCAAAGTCATGTAAGATCGCGAACACCGACGAATATTTATGCAAATGAAAGCGTAAAACGTTGGCGATACAATTTACCTGGTCATTATCGTACGGTTTACTATCACACAGGGCGCCCTGGTAAACCAGGGGAACAGTTAATGCGTCTTCTCATGAAGCTGCAGCTAGGAAGAGACTTTTAATTCCAACCACTGTGCGCAACAAATAACTTCCCTTGGAAGGATTAAACATCGTGACGCGTTAATCGCGGCAAGATGCTACGTTAACTAATTAATTACCAATAGCATGCTGTTCGTTCTGTAAGTCTGGGACCGCGTATCGTTTTGCTCCGATAAAACTCATCAATTTATAACGCGCGAAATGTTTGTTCGTAGATGTGAATAACGTTCGTTCATAGATATGGATGAAAATATTATTTACACGCTACTTCTGCGTACTTGCCACGTATTTCACGCGATAAAATTGCTTCTGACTTTATTTCATAAATTGACAAGAGTCTTACTCTCGATTGTAACCGAGGGACTTTTTATTTGCAAACCAACGACTGTTCTGCAAAACTAAATCGTTTAATTACACTTCACCGAACTCTTTCACTAAAGAACCATTCGTAAGCCACGAAGACACAGAACGAGTAATATCGACCGTGCAGATCTGCCGCGACGCAAACAGAAACGATTTTCTTCCTGGTCGAACTATTTTCGGGATTGTCTCCGGAAAACAGTTTCGTTTCAACGAGACACGAGCTATTGTATTTAACGGGTTACAGCTGAATGAGCCTCGAGCGAAAAATAACCGCTTAACGGATAAAAAGAGAACGAGACAATCCCCTGTGGAATGCTTCCGAGAGATACTCAACAGAAAATCATCGCCGATATCACGAAAACGTGAGAGAGAGAGATAAAGTTATTTTAACTCAAATTCACGCGTCGAAAGAATTACGAGCAATCCCCTTTCCGTTTCTGCCGTTATTTGTCCTTTGTTATGTCTCGATAAAATGGATATGTATGTTGAAACAAAAGCATGCGAAATATCCCGTTGTAGGAATAAAAAATGATAATGAACGAGCAGCCACGTATCCGGTGTGTCACTCGGTGGACGGCTTGCAAACGAGTCGAGAAGAATCGATTCGACACGTTCTCCGGGAGGGTTGCATGAAGAAAGAGAAAGAAAAGGGAACGGTAAGAGGACTCCACCCTTTTTGCGGCCTAGGGGCTCCACTGGTCCTTTTTCCTTTCTGAGAGCCACTGTGGATAATTGGAACCGCACCCACGAACTGGTAGTTCGAGCTCAGCCCTTGTGAATGTCTCGCTTTTTCTTTCTTATCTCTCCTTCTCTATTCCACAGCCTTTCTCCGTATCATAAAATACCTTAAAACAATGCATACGCCAGCAACACTCGTCTAAATAGAAATCTTTTGTGCTCGGAGAAGCAAGAAAATTATTTCCGTCTTTCATTTTTAAACTCGCTTGCAAACACGCGGGTGGTCCTCGTGATTTAAAATACAATCTACCAACCAAACGTCTATGCCCAATACTCGATTAAATGGATACTATTCCGACAATAAATAAGGGACTGCTATCATAGCCTGTAACTCTCTGTAACTCTTTGTCTAAAATCGATGAACATGTATATATTTCTTGATTGTATCAGTAACATCACAACAATATACGTGAAATTCGATAAGTAACGAAGCAACGTTGTCGATACTTTCGTAGTATGTATGATATATATTTACTTATTTCATATATGTATAAAGTAGAACATTTGCTAATCAATCATGCACCACTTAAAAATATAAATAAATGTAACAGTTTAACCTTTTTAATCTTTTTTTATAAAAGTTTTCTTAATTTCTTTTTACTTTCAAGAACAAATGGCTTCAAGAACATTAGTATGTCAAAGATATATATCTAATTATGACGAGATAAGAAAATCGAATTTTCATGTAACGAATCATGTTTGCGTAAATCATTCAGTGTGTCGCAATCTATCAGACGAATCAAATGCAGATTTCAGAGGAACAGAAAAATCGAGTACAAAGTAACATCATCTTGATAATATAACAAAATATAATTAGATTATAATTATAATTAGGATGTGTCACAAATTCAACAGAAACAATATTTCTGTTTGTCGAAATGACATATCGCCAACGGATGAATCTAGTTCACTGTCCAGCAAACAAGAGGAGAATTCGATGTAATTGAATAATTGATACTGAGTAGTTGAATTAATGATATAGAAAATTAAAGCTTGTCACAAATTTATTTTTTTAATTTTTTATTATTTTATTAATTTTTTAATTTTTTAATAATAAAAAAAAGCTGTGAAACGAAAGAGTCATTTGCGTCAAGCTGCAGATCGTTCTCGGCGTGTTACAACATCACAGAGCAATCAGATCCTCTGGCCGAAGAGATGTTTAAACAGTTTCCCAGGTAATATTTCTTACAATAATGACGTAATGCGAAAAATGACGGAGAATGAAAAAAAGCAATAGAAAATCAAAAAAAAAAAAAAAATCGGAAAAACATGGTTCGTAGAACACAATACACAAACGAGTCTCGCAGACACTGGGAAATGATGGTGCATTGCGAGAGGGCCGCGTTTCCAAGGGCAGCGTCGAATTTGCCTCTGCCCTCGAGGGAGGTATGTATATCACCGGAGGAAACCCGGCGAATTCAAAAGCCGAGAACTCAATTAACCCGAACGACTAGAACTCAATTACGAATGTCGGTCGGCGGGAACATGCGGTGGCTGGTAATTAAAAAGTTATTATGCTCAGGCCCGTTTCTACTGGCACTTATACTCAACCGCAGTGAAAAATTCGCACTTCTACCAGAGACAAGTGAATCACGCTCTGCTCGTTACATTGGCCAAGTAAGAATCTAATAACAGCTTAATCGAACCGATATCATTTATTCCATTTTTAATCGAATACGGATCTAGACGCTTGATAATTCTTCAAATTATTTCTCTTTCTTCTATTCTACATGCGATAAATCTAATCTTTATAAACAAACCAAATATCAAATTTTTACAAGAAATTTAATCATCTCGCGCCTTAGTCAATAATAGAACAACGAACATAGAATTTAAAACTATTGAACATCTCTAATTCAAAAATATACTTTCAATGTTGTAGACTTTTGCATAGCCAAAAACGCAAGAGAGGCATGAGCGTTTGGGCACAATTAATCCGTTTGCAAACGTTCGATCGAATTGGTCGAAAAAATTTAATAACACGTCCAGAACGACTCATCCAGTAAATTAATATACTATATTAATAAAAATAAAATTTAGCAAAAATAATTTGGAAGCTTTAAAATTATATTAAACGTATAATGCATTGTAGCAAACAAACTAGATTGGAATCTATTTGTCTGGAAGGTTTATCGTTAACGCCGGACGAACGTGTACGACTACTATTGGCACTGTACAACTCCCGTAAAACAATGAAATATGTGCATTGTTGGCGCGCGTTCGAGAAAATGGTAAGCCTCGCGGGAGATGCTGACTATCACGGTGAATCAAGATTTTACGCAGACAAAAGAATCAAGATATGCGATTGGTTTCGCGCAATCGGCTGTTTAGAGTTTCTCACCACCCTATCCGTAAACTACGCGTATATAGCGACACCCACGGGAGATCTGCTTGTCAGTTTGGCCAAGTATATTGACTACTTAATCTTCTATGCTATTTTAGTCGTTGCAATATTAGTCTAATTATAAGATGAATCTATCCATCTTGCCTACGTCATCGAAATGCAATAATGGCGGATGGTTTGTTAGAAAATATAGATATAGTTTTACATTTAACCAATGGCGTCAGTGAAAAACATAAATTTACCTTAGAATTCAATCGTAGAAAACTTCGAACGAATTGGCACTGGTTGCAGCTATTGTGTTTAGAAGAAGAAATTTTGCAAAAAACTCAAAATGGACATGATATTGAAACAATCGTGATACCAGATGCAGCTTGGAGAACAACTCATTTTTGGGCACCGAAACTAAAAGTACAATATGCTATTAGTACGAAACAATTTCATAATATACTAACAATATATCAAAAAGAGAACATACATACAAGTATTTTCTTCTATTTTTAGTTGGAATACCACAATATGATGTTCACAAGAAATTTTTCACGAAGCAAACTCGGATACATACTTTCGCACTGTCGACGAGTATCAATTTGAGATTTCGACAACCGTGGTACCTCGATTGCACGATTAAAACACTTTGTGCGTGGTATTCGAATAGTTTAGGTAATTGAAATCGCGAAATTACTTGTATGCTTTTTTTATCATTTCAAATTATAGCTTTTTTTTCTATTCCGATTCATAAACCGACGTTAAACTTTGAAACGCGAATCTTTCTACGCCACCTATGAATAGTTAGTGGTACTAATCCTCTTCATCGATAAGTAGCATTTCGATTATTGATATCGACTACGTGTTTGAATTACTTTTCACATTTCTGTAATTTTGAAATTCAAATAACCATTATTATTGTTGTTGTACAGTATACTTATGCCTGCAGTTATGGCACAATCGACAGAATTTGGATAATCAACTAAGACATCTCTTCATTTACTTACCATCACTACGATTTTTCGAATTTGTCGGTGAAATTCGAACGTTGAAAACACTTTGTGCTATATGCTGTCAAATACGATCTGGCCGTTGCAGTAATTACTTAATATACACGATATAAATTAAAATGTGTATCGGTGACTATCAATTTTTATGTTTTTCAGATGTTCATCGTGTTAATATGCAACTTCAAGATGTTATACACGATAGTTCAGATAAAGAAAAATGGATCAAGTGCGTAAGATGTATGATGCTTTGTTTTAAACACGATTTTGACAGAATGGGTGTTAAATTTGATATCAACTTTTATTGTTGCTGATCAAAATTCATATATTATCAAAGTGTTGCAAAAGTCAAAATTTCCGTTTTATTAGCAATATACATATAATTATTTGTGCAAAACAACATAAACGTCAATACATATAAAATGCACATTATATAAATGCAAACTAAAAATTACTAGTATAGTAATTTATATATTTATATTGCAAATAAGTTACTTGTTCAATATATTTTATTCAATATATATTACTGTACTTCTGTTGTTTCTTGCTGCTCAAATTTGGGATATTTTTGTTCAACTTCCAACCATGTAAGTTTACCATTAGATAAACCTCTTACCACATTTGGAATCTCGTCCAACTGTAATTCAAATGATTTAATTTTCGTAAACTCTACATTCCTATGTTTTCAAATTGTAAAATGCCTACTTACATTTATTCTAACTTGGCCCATGCTATCTCGTTCACGAAGTGTAGCAGTATGAGGTGTTTTCAAAGTATCAAAATCTATGGTGATACCAAATGGTATTGCAATCTCATCTGTCCGTGCGTATCTGCGTCCAATACTACCGGAAGAATCATCGATTTTATGCGAAACATCTACCCTCGTGAGATTCTGGGCTATATGTAAGTATAATATTTATATAAGTATAATATAAATTTTTCAAAATTCAAAATATACACATGTATTTTGAAAAGTTATAATACATACATAAGTGTTTCACAAATGGTATAAATTCACTGTTACCACTGAGTGGTAACACTGAACACTTTAAAGGAGCCACAATTGGTGGTAAACTGAAATAAGTTCGTTTCTCATCTCCTCCTCTTGCTTTAAAATTATGTTCAAATATAGCATACATAATACGACCAATACCAAAAGATGGTTCAATTACAGAAGGAATTATTTCTTCTACATACACTGTCTTTTGATATCTTTTTACTTCAATCAAGTCTTTTGTAATTTTTACTGTAGTACCATTTGAAAGCTTTAATTCAGTTTCTCCATTTTCATTAATTTCAGTTTCCAAGGCATTAATATTACTCTCATTTAATGCTGCTAAAGCATCCTGTACTAATTTACTATCTTTTTTAAACGTTTTCCCAATAATAACTTTATTTGATACTACTTCGCATACATCAAGATTTTTTGGTGCTGACAATTTTTTTTCTGCTACTAACTTTACTCCAGTGGCTTTCGTATGTTGTGTAAGATCATAGGCAGAACGATCTGCACAACCAACACATTCTATCCAACCATAAGATGTTAAACATTCAGCATCCCAACAATCACAAGCATAATGCGCCATTTCATTTCCCATGTGTTGACGGAAACGTAATCTTTTTGGATCAATTCCAACTTTAATTAAAAATAAATAAATTCTACCCATAAAATATCCTAATGTTTCATTGGCTATAAGTTTATTTAATACAGCATCACCTAAAGTCATATGCTGTGCACTCTTTCCATCCATTTGATTACAAGCAGAATATAAAAGTACACTCAAATCTTTAACATTTTCAAATTTAGGATGATTTTTATCATTAGGATCACAAAAATGTTCTATTTCTGCCATAGTAAATTCTCTCACCCTTAGTAAACCAGATCTAGGAGAAATTTCATTACGGAATGCATTTCCAATTTGAGCTGCAGCAAATGGTAATCTATCTTGATTAAATGCAAGCAATCGTTTAAAATTTACAAAAATTCCTTGAGCAGTTTCTGGTCTTAAAAATCCTTTCACAAGTCCAGAAGGACCAATTTGAGTTCCAAACATTAAATTAAATTCTATTGGTTCTGTTAAATCATTCCCAGTGATTGGAGACTTTATATTAAATTTAGACATAACTGCTGCCATTTCATCCTTGGTCATTCCATCCAATTTAATAATAATATCTTTACATTCTGCACTTACATTTTCATTAGTTTTTTTATCACTAATCACTTTCTCTAAATGTGACTTAATTAAATGATCTAATCTAAAACATTCTCCACTTTTTATATCTTTCACCATTAAATCTGCAAATCTTTCCACATGTCCAGATGCTTGAAGTACAGGTTCTGGTGTTAAAATAGAACAATCTACTTCTAACATTTGTTCTTCTAATATAAAAAAGCTTCTCCATGTATTTAATACATTCGTTTTTAATGCACAACCCATAGGACCAAAATCAAATTGTCCACTAATTCCTCCATAAATAGCAAAGGATTGATCAAAGAAAAATCTACGTTTTAGAAGATCGTCCATTCTTGCCCTATCAAATTCTATTGTTTCCGAAAGAGATAGTTCCTTTTCTTCCAATAATTTCTTCCGAAGTTTAAGCTCGACAACTGCTTTTTTAATGTCCAGTTCTGGAGCACCATCAGATTTAAGTTTTCGCACATAGTCACCCTTTAACCATAAAAAATAATGATATTGCAACACAATATTGTATAATATACATAGCATTAAATAAGCCAGATGCAACAAAAAAAAAAATAATAAAAAATTGAATTAAAGCATTTAATAATAAACAAACTTCTATGATAGTAAAAATTACATATTCAATATAAAAATATATTAAAATCTATTACATATTTGACTAAATCTTTTGTCAAATCTCATCCATATGGCACTTACTTGTTCCTTGACATTATTCCGTAAAGGAGCTAGGATATCTTCAATTTTTGGATCCGACATATCCTGTTTAATTTGTATTTTCACTTTACGATTCTTTTTAGTTGTACCCCACTTACTAAAATCACCTAACCTAGCAGTTACAGTAAATCTTCGTAATAGCTGTTTATAAATTGAGTTATGCTTGTATAGACCACGTGTAGCTCTTTTGCAAAGATGCTGCAAATTACGCGAGACAAACTGCATTTACGTTACTTTTCACTTTACCGACGTTCAAATGCTCGACGGTGATGCCTCTTGTTTCAATCACTTAGTTTTGCATAATACGACACTGTTGGCGGTAAAATTGATAAAATTTGAAAGTTCAAAGTAAAGAAAAAATAAAACTTCAGCAACTTATTGTTATATATGTTATCAAATAACATACAATTATAATATTTACGTATTTCAAACAATATAATTTAAAAAAACTAAATATAACTTATCGATACATATTGCATACTCCCTTTTATATTTCCGAGATATCAGTATAAATAAAAATCAATATAAAACCATTTTTTATCTATAACGATATTCTTGCATTTTTTTATAAAGAATATATTTTAAAACGAATAACATTGTATAGAATGAAAAAAATAAATAAATAAAAAATACACAATATGACGCGTATACACAAGTATAAGTTTATTACTTTTTTTATTAAATTAGTGTAGTGTTATTAAACTTACTTGTTACAAAAAAATTATTTCTCTTAATTTCGAACGATTTTATTTTCTTTGTACACTGTAGCATGGCTTATAGAAAAATTACAATCAGAGAAAAATTATTTATAAAAAAAAATATAAGATTTTCTCCTATAAATTGAATTGTTAATTATAACTTTTCAATAAACTCATGACATTATGTGTGACATAATAAATCACATAATATGCATAGAGAAAAGTGTAATTAAGAATATTTTGTTCATGTTACCATAAGGATATTAAAATTTGTATGTGTAGATTCATTTTTTAATTACAACCTTAACCTTTTTGACATATAAGTATTAAGTTTTTTATTCTACGCATCTACATGCAAACGTTAATTTCAAGTCAAACGGTTGGTCAGAGACGTAAGGATAAACGTCATACAAACAATTATATATATTTATATATAATTATATATAGTAAATTATACATATACTATATATATACTATATGCTTCAATTTCTTCGCATAACAATACTACAATCAAAAACAATCTTGATCAGTGTAAACAATTTATTTTACATAAGAGCAATACTCTGACATCAAAAAAGCGATAATAATGGATAATGTATAGTAATAAATAAAGTATGAAATGTAAATTATGGATATTTACAAGTATGTAAATGGCAAAAAAGCTATAACAGAGACAAAATAATTGTTTCATCTTTCGTAAATATAATCTTGTATGTATTTGCAATAGATTCTGTCATTTGTTTGCAAAAATACATCTCACATTAATATTCGCATCATGTCAATCCTGTACACTTAAAACCTAGAAAACGTACAACCACAACACGTACCAACATGTAAGATGTCAATGTATCTCTTGTGTAGCAAACACATGACAGATTCAATGAGAAACACATACTAATAGTGTCCAGCATGAATATTTATATAATAATTCACCTATAGTATTTAAAGGGAGCACCATGATAAACATGCATGCGGCTCTATATCCCATTTGGGAAATTGATTAAAAATCTCGTGCTTCTATCTCCCAATTAACTTACATTAACATAAATGCACAATTTTAATCCAGTACGCCAACATCTGCGATCATTGTCCTTCATATCCACCAATTTTATGCAAGAATCGAAATTCAATTTCGATTCCAAATAAATGTATACAAGCAAAAATGTTGCACGAGAATATGACAAAATATCACAGTTCCGAGCTTGAAAAGTCACTTTTGAAAATCATGGTTCTCCCTGTCCTCCTTTTTATTTATATTCCAAGACAGTCATGAACTGTAAGACATTCTAGTTAACAACAATCCTACATCCTACTATGAGATTATCTATTTCAGAAATTGTAACGTTTAATAGTAATACATAGTCATATACAACTTGCTAAGGACGCTGTAAACTGTATACTGGCTGCTAAATGTTCCAAGTGAATACTGTACGTATAATGTATGTAAAAAGTTAGAGGTGATATATAGATTCAGAGCATGTGGTGTAAATGAAGCCTAATTTTATTGTTTAAAGATTAATTGTTGTTATGAAAACCGAAATAGCGATGCGCAGTCTGTAATACATGGAAGAGTGATGAATAATGTAATAATATATGGTAAAAAAAAAATATTATTATATATGATGTATATAATAGTTTAATCAAAATATTAAAAGTATTAAATTCTAAGATTATATAAACTGAGTGTTACTACTCAAAAAATATTAATAACTTTTTAAATATATCTTTAAATAATATCATTTTATAAATAATACGTAAATATCCATCACTCTCCCACAATTAACCAAAATGAAAATTTTATTAATTTTAAAACAACATATAATTCTATTTTCAATATATATAAAATCGAAGATGGAATGCTGGTATGTAAACTTTTACAAATATGTTTTCACTCTTTCCTTACAATTCATATTTTTCTGAGTATTGGATTTGACCGAATCATTTTCTTATATTTTTCTCCTAGAATACGAAAGTATATTGATATAGCATTTATGCACAAAGCTAAATAATAATAAGCAGCATTCCTTTCTTCTTTATGTTACTCGTTTAAAATGTACAAAATTATTTCTCATTCAATATTCCTTGTTATCTTGTTAAAAATAAAGAATAAAAAGTAGAAAATTAAAAATAAATAACAAAAATTCTTTCTATGTTAAAAGTATCTCCTCATTTCTTAATAAATCTTTAATACATCCACATAATGAATGTCAATGTGCTAAAATAAAAACGTAAATACTCAAATGGAATATCAAATTGAGAAATGATCCGTACTTATAACCACTGACATGTTAGTCGAATAGACGCATCGTAAAACGGCATGACAGTCAAGGCTAAATATTCTGAACATTTCAACAAATTGCACAGTTCAAAGTTAATTGAGATTATTTCATCTCTCTCGTCATAAACATAGTACTTTTTTTAAAGTACCTGCATAAATTTATTATCTTAATACAATACTTGTGACTAAATATTTACATCAATGCGTTTTACAGCTTCAGTCTATTAAGCTTCTGAATCGCGACAGCCTTTGAACTTTCGCAATATGCGACATTTTATGAAATTATTAATTATTAAACTAATAATTTATCATAATACCACTTAAGTTTCCTACTGAGCAGGTGGCTGTGGCTCGCTAGGCATATTAGGATTTGGATATGGTGACAAAAATGAATAATTCGGATAAGGCGGTGGTGGATGCGGGAACGGAGGATAATAATTAGGTGGATGCGAAGAAGGGGGTGCATAACCTCTATGTATGTAAGGATCTGTTGGTGGAGGACCATGAAACGCTGTATACATACGAGCATATTCTGTATTGTAGCTCGGGCCACCATATGCTGGATATCCAGGAGCACCTACTTCAAAAATGTAGTTTCAACACATATTTTTTTTTATAAATAAACAATGGGAGGCAACAAAATCTCAACTTACCACCTGGTGGATAAGTTGCTGACGAACCGGGTGCTGGAGGATAATGCTGAGAGTATGGATCATACGGTCCTGGTGGATAAGGTCCAGGATAACGACTACTTGTAGGATGACTAAACGCAGTAGGTATATGCGTTTCATCTCTATTAGTAGCTACCGTTGTGGTTACCATCGCTTCTGCACCTTTCGTTTCTGTGGTATTTGCTAATGTTTTGGCAGTAGTATTAGGTACTTGCGAATATGCAGGAGGCACATTCATCATTGTTCTCTCTTCTATGGGTTTTCCTAGTTCTGTTTGGCTCTTAGTAGTATCCATTGGTAATCTAGGATTTGCTGCATGAGGTGGAACACCAGGGAAATATGTACCATAAGGAGTGGATAATGATCGTGATCGAGGATCACTATAATCGTAATATCGTGGATACTGAGCATAAGGATAGCCTTGTGGAACATTAGGAGGCTCACTTTGTATAGAAGTTTCACGCATACTTGGTTCTGCTGTTTTTGGAGATGTCATAGTATTGGTTCCAGTACATACGGATGTAGCAGAAGAACCAATAGTTGAATCAGTTATACCTTTAGGGACTTCCGTACCTCGTAATGCAGATGTCGTTGGTGGTACTTGCATAGTTGACGATGTAGACTGTTGTGTTAACAATGAACCAGACGCTGGTTGTGCTGGAACTTGTACCGCTACTTGCGATGTAACTTGCGGTGATGCTTGAGGTATTTGTGATGATCCTTGTGACGATAACTGAGGAGGTATCTGAGGTGGTATTTGTGGTGGTAACTGTGGTGGTATCTGAGGTAATACTTGTGACTGCACTTGCTGTGATACTTGTGATTGTACTTGCGGAGATACTTGTGGTGGTATTTGCGACGGCATTTGTGATGATACTTGCGATTGCATTTGAGATGATACTGGCGATGGATCCTCGATTATAATTTCATCATTGGACGTATCTCTTTTTTCTTGTTGAGTTTGAAAAGCATGCCCATAATTCGTTAATGTATCAGTTGTTTTCATAATCTCCTTTTCAATTGAAGGAGAACACTGTTTATCAATTTTTGATGTCAATTCCGTTTCCGTTTGATCGTGTTGCGTTTGAACACTTTGTGCAGTTACAGATTCCGAAGTATATACTTGACCGTTTTCTTCAGATGACTTTTGTAGAGCAGTAGTATCGGTATCAGAATTGGCCACACGGTTATGATTAGGACTATAATCTGTGTTCGAACTTACTTCTGCAACCACATCTTCCAATCTGACTTCTTCCACCCTTTGTTCAGTTCTAACTTGACCATCTGAAGAGTTTGAATTTTCACCAAGTGTGGAATGATCTACAGGTTCCTGCTTTACTTTTGGTAACCTTGACAGAGAAACTTGATTGGTTAAATTAACTTGACTCAAATATGGCTTGGCAGTTGCAGTAGCAACAGGTTTTGGTCTTTTTGAGGTTTCCTTATCTGCAAATGGTCTATAATTAGGCCCGTTTCCTGGTTTGTTAATTGAACGACCACTTGTTTGATTACTTGAAGAAGATTTCGGTATAATAGAAATAGCTGAGTTATTTCTCAATGGAAATCCGACTTCAGGCTTTGAATTCCTCTGTGCCATTGATGATACACCTATAAATATAAATAAAATAAATTTTAAAAGTTAGAAGAGATAGGATAACTATTTAATAAAA